AAAGAGAAAAATACTGAAGGAGGTGTAATAGTTTGGGTATTGAATATTTCTAAGTCTGTATCATCATTGTAGATTCATAACTGAATTTAAAGCAAAGTGATGACTGAATATTGTCACGATTGTTTTGTTTAAATAGCTGAGCAATTTCAATTTGTAGTTATGTGTATGTGTTTACTTGTATGTATCAATCAACAGAAGAATAGTGGATTTATTTTAGTATTGAATTGAAACACTAATTACAAGAAACGAAATTATATTTCACGGGGATTGTTTGTTTGTTTGTTTTTAATTATGCACAAAGCTACACAAGGGCTATCTGTGCTCTGCCCACCACGGGTATCGAAACCCGGTTTCTAGCGTTGTAAGTCCGGAGACATGCCGCTGTGCTACTGGGGGGCATTTCACGGGGAATGGGTCATGCGACAGTACTGTTGTTTTGAATGATAAAAACAAAAACGAATCAGTGTGAGATGCAGAAGCCGTACCAGAGTTGATGAAAGCTTGGTATTAAAACAAATGTTACAACCTAACGAAACCAACTGTCCAATTGACTGTAGACACGCTACACCATACATGTGAACTCACTGTACTGATGTGCATGCGTTGACAGCTAGGAACACTTTCACATGACGCCTAGAACAGTGTTTAATTTAATAAAATAAGCTAACTTAATACTACCTTTTTTATCGATAATTTTTTAGCAAGTTAATACATTTAAAACAATTCCTTGATGACAATTTGACATAAGAATTTTTCAAAATATGGATTAATGAAACATATAATTTCACACTTACAGTACAGTTGTGCTATATCTTTTCAGGTTAGCCTAGATTGTTTCCAAATCATGACACTGAACGTTACTATTTCTATGTTTCGATTTCAGATAAATTTGTCTTCGCAGAGGCATCGGAACCACTTTTACATATTTGACTTATATATCAACTGTAAATTATTATTATTATCTGTACGTCTAGCCAAGTACTCCCATTTGGCATCCACTTCCTACACCACTCTTTCGCCATACGTCTTGTGTTCTTTATCGAGTCTTCGAGTGAAAATAAACTTTTGTGGTAAATTATATATCTTTCCTTATCGGAACTTTCTTGTTTGATTAAATGTCGTTACACCGTTTGTTTGTAGACTAGATGAAATGTCGTTACACCGTTTGTTTGTAGACTAGATGAAATGTCGTTACACCGTTTGTTTGTAGACTAGATGAAATGTCGTC